TCGACGAACCTCTTTCCTAATCCTCGGTGGAGTTGGAGATGGGGAAAAGAGAGGGGGTGGTTAGATTGGAAAGGAGTCAGGTCCTGTTGGGACACGGAAGGTCTAATAGGAGGAGCTATATAGGCAGACCGAAGAAGAAGGGTCAGGGAAAAGAATCCAGTGTGTGGGACAGAGACGACCCGAGGAAAGGTTTGGCGAGCCCCAAGTGGCCAAAGAGGAATTGATCCCATTCCGTACAAACTGACGACCGTCAAAGCGACCAGGCGAGCCCCAGGGATCGGCGAAAGAGCTCCAACTTCATGCAAAAACCAACCAGCAAGAGGGTACAGGCAAGCAGTAACAGTGAGTGGGCCGAACCGGACAGCGACTCGCACTGCGGTCGCATGCCTTGCGCAGTCTTGCACTGTCGTGAAATTGGTGTAGAGTGGCTTTCGTAGCCTGCAGAGTGTGAGAGTTATGTGGACATAAACAGAGATTAATGGCCAAACTTTGGGTGTTGTCTCACTTCAAGGAGTTCCAGCAACTGTGTCTGTGTGCCTCACAACAAGCACAGTACGTGTGGTACTGTGGCTTTCAAGCAGTGGGAGCCACCGTGTGCGTAAGGAATGAATTAATATGCTCACCAAGCAGGAACCGACCGTCGCGTGGCACCTGCCCTTGCTCGAGTTGGTTTCGGAGCCAAGAAAATTGCCACACGAAGGAGTCGTGCACCGACCCGGGATACCGTGGGTCGATGCACATTATCCGGCAGTCGGCGTCACACACCTGAAAGTGAGAGAGATATTGACATGTAATTACCTGAATCCACAAGTAGTAGATTGTACTTATGGTTCACAAAGCAGTCGCAATTTCAGAAGCTTTTAAGTTATTTTGTCTGACACATGCATGTCAACACACCTTCCTGGATGCAAGGTACAACTAACTACCTTGAAACAAAAATAATGTGTTTTTTTTTTTACGGAAGCTTGCACATTTTAACAGAGAAATATTATTTTTGGGAGAAGAGTCTTACCGCTCACATGCTACGTAGAGCACACGCTCGCGCAGTCGTGAGACCCCACAGCCCGCAGTCATAAAACGGCATACTTAAACGGTATCGGCAAAACGTTTTTTTTAATTTTTTTTCTACAGATTTGGGGCGCGTTTTGACAACGTAACATGAGTGTACTTACCACCATCGCGTTGAGGGCGTAGAAGTACTTGCGGCACCAGTACGCCGCCTTCGTGACGGTGGGGTCGTTCTTGGACGGGCCGACGATGGAGACCATGGTCCCGTCCACGCAACCGATGACGCCGGGTATCCTGCCGAGCAGCCTGAAGCCCTTCTCCGCGTCGAACCTCTCGCTCGGCGTCTCGGGGAAGTGGATCCAGCCACGCTGGACCCCGAGACGACGCACGATAGCGACGGACACGGCGCGGACCGCAACGCTGACTGTCTTTTGGTCCCGCGCTACGTGTTCGTCGCTCGCCACCATGCCTTGGAAGCTCCCCGTGCCGTAGAAGTGCAGTGCACACAACACGTGAAGCTCCACAGTCATGACCGTCCTTGAGGTACGCACTCTCCTCACCTCCGGTTCCTCGCGAAGTTCGTCGCACAACCACCGCACCACGATCTTGGGCAGGCGGTATTGCTTCCAAAAGATCTCCTCCGCGAGCTCGAATGCATCGCGGTGTTCCCGATACAGCCTTTCTGGCGAAAAAAAAAAGCTCTATTAAAGAAAAAGACGAATTGACGAGACGGCGACGCCTCGCCGCCGAACACATGCTGCCAATGACACCTAGTTCCGAGCAAGTACCTTTTGAAACGTACTCGGTACAAAACGAAACGTCATTTTGTTGTCACGTCCGGTAGCCGACTCCGCCCAGTTTTGCCGACTCCGCCCACATTTTTCTAGGGAAATTACGTCACTTTTGTTTCCAACCAATCAGACGTGATGACGTCACTTCCGTGTACTAAAAAAAGGTACATGTACAATGTCGAACCTAGCTATCCTGATCTACATTCTACGGTGAGCTAGATTGAACTTCCGAAACACTGCTTCTGTGCCCATTGTGGCCCATATTTCGTCCCCACGTTCGTACAGATAAGCTTCTTCCCTTCCCAAACCTCCCTTTGTTTCCACGAGTTTCATAGTCTCCGGGTCTCCTTCATTGGGAACTCCTTCAGGGGGAACCAGTTCCTCCGAAATGGTTGGATTGGGCCTGAGCCCGACGCAGTGACTGGACACCAGGTTCAGTCGAATATACTGAAGCAGCATTCGTGTCCAATCTCTGCTCGACCTCACTGGGATGACGTCGAAATGCATGGGCTTTTTAGAGAGCCCAAGATACGTTGACGTCTCGTCACCGAGATAGCGATAAGGTGCCAGAAACCAGTATGTCATTTTTCTACGTGTAATGTTAAGCAACATTGTGGTCGCCATATCTTGGTGACCATCGATGTCTCCACCCTGTCTTGCGGTGGCCCGGTGCCGGAGTAACGCCGACTCCCTCGCCGGGGAGAGCAGGCAGGGGGTGATGTTTTTAGTTCTTTTGCCCGATCCCCCAAAGGTCATCTTGGTGATATCCCCCAAAGGTCATCTTGGTGATATCCCACACCGCCTGGTGATAATTACGAAATTGCAGAGGGTAAGCAAATTGGCAAAAAAAAAGAAATCATGGTTTTGGTTGTTAATTTCGAGGCTAGGTGGCGCAAGCTATTTCCCGTTATAAAAGGTACAGCCGTTAGCATCCATCCATCCATGGGCACGAAGCAGGTGATTGGATCAGTTGTCGCCGAACGCTGTTGCAGCACTCGTGTCCAATTCAATATCAGAGTGTGCCCGAGCAAATTAAACCGACCTCACTAAGCGTTAGGCGCATATGTGACGCAGCCATAACTTTAGTTCCCAGAAGGCAGACCAGGGGTTTCCCCAGGAATTGAAATTAGGGGGGGGGGGGGGGGGGGGTTACATTTTCATGAGGGGGGAGGGGGGGTGGGGGGCATTGAGAATAGAAAAGTCGGCCTTCAGAAAAAATGAAAGACGCTTACAACACCCTGTTACGCCGAATTAGAGCGCAGCACTTGAGGAGGAGGAGGGAAAGTTGAATTCAGTCACGTGACGAGCAAAGCATCCAGGCAGTGCAGGAATGCCGGCGTTACGGCCAGCCGCCGAGGCTGAATGCGCAACTCTGCTACCGTAGGTAGCTAGATACAGGAACTCTAGTACTCGCTAGAGTTCCTGTATAGGCTCCCTACGGGAGCCAGAGTTGCGCGTCTGTTTTCCAGGTGCCGCCGCGCCTCTATTCGCCGAGATCCGATCACGTGAGGAGCCGGATCAAGTGTCGTGCAGGAAAGTAGACGTGGCACGCGCCCCTGCGTACGTTCCCCTGCTTCGCGCCGCGCGCCTGGAACGCGCGGCGCCACGATTCGCCGAAATCAGTCACGTGACGAAGCGGGTTCAACATGCCGTGCAGGAAAGACGGCGCTACGGAGATGAACGCGCAACTCTGGCTCTAGCGAGTGCCCCTTCTCAGTGCCCCCAGGGTACAGTGCCCAGGGCAACGCAGAAAAATGGTCACCACCTTTTCGCAAAAAACAAAAAAAGAAAGAATTGTTCTAGCTACAAAAAAAAAAAGTACATTTGTGTAGTCGACAAATTTTGTTTGGTGCTTTGCTTCGCATCCGTGTTTGGCAGGCACGTCAGGCTTTGTTAGTTTACACAGATTGACGAGCTTACTGGGCGTGGAAAACACTACCTTTACATTTGATCGCGTTGCTATTTTCAAATTGTGCAACACACTGAATATACGGCATCGTAACTTTTTCTTTCTGTCTGGCCTGCTGGTTCCCCACTGTTCCCTTCGAGACAGTGCTTTCCTAAAAAGCATTCAGCAACCGCAACAAGAATGTGCTTGGGGTATACTTGCAGCTACAGCTAACCGCATTACCTGCTGCTCGAAACCAGCAGAGGTCAAATGCTCACAGGACGTTTTTAGTACATTGGTAAAACAGAGGTTAGTAATACTTATTTTGACCTAGTGGGCTGAATGAAAAGGAAGCATAGGCTTATTCGCACGTGGCTCGTACACCAACAGATGTGGTCGTCGAGAAATAAAAACCTGATGTCAAGACAACGGTTGGTGTTGTCTACAGGCATCTCATGCGTGACATTGATCGTGCCAGACAATGGTCAGGGTCTTCGCAGTCTCTGCCTCAAAAGCGTTGGCATCGGAAGCGATAAAAAATATGAAATGTTTCTACGAACCTAAACACTTTCTTTACTTTTGATTCTTGAATCTGGCTGCTAGGAGTGGTGTCAAGTTGTGCTAAAACTAAATCGCCAAGAACTAGCACGATGCATGAGCCAATGCACATGTCCTGTTTTTGCAAGTAAGGCTCGCCCTTGCCCTGATTTGTTGTCCGAAAATAAAACCTGAGTAATTTTAAAAAGCCACTGCTAGAAATCCCCGACTTATTTTCAAAGGCTACCACTCCGAACTTGTCAACATAGGAGTGAGTATAATAAATGTCAACATAGGAGTGAGTATATAATAAAGGTATTTTACAACAAGTGAGTAATAAAGGTATTTTACGTCGACCGAGAATGCCCCGAGATTGTTTCCTTTGCGCATGCTATGTGATGGTTGTTTTGTGTTGTGTATTGTGACAAGGGTTGACTGCAAATACCAGGACACGTTTCAAGAAAAATCAGTTGGAAATTGTGCTTCGTTTGTGTCCTGTCCTTCCTTCGTACTCGCCTTTGCTGCGCAGACACAAGTTGACCAACCAACTAGCCCAAACAGCCACACTTTATGCATTGTGTTTGGCAAAATAAAAAAAGCTGGAATTATAATTTTTAGTGGCACTTTGATTGTACCAACACTGGGGATCTTGAGCATGGTTCATCCATCCGCAATACTTGGGCAGTGCTCGTTCAACTCCACAAATCTTAACGATTCCACGTGCTGATTTGAAGTTTCAAAGAGTAGACGTCAAGCCGACATCACGCTCTTTCCAGGATGGCCATCAAGTACATCGCGCAGCTGGAGTCCATCCTGTCGTCGCAGGCGTCCCCTACGACGGGCGGCTCAAGCGGCCAGCACTACGACTCGTCCTTCTTCCCTCCTACCATGTGGGCGACGGCGCCAAACTACTACAGCTGGGTCAGACAGGTCCGGTACTATGCTCCTCCTTGGCAGATGCGAAAATCCCAAAAGGTCGCAGTGAATTAGGGGAATATCCTGTACGCTCCTCCCTGTTCCCACAGCATGTACCACGTGGCACTGAAGCGCATGAAAGGAAAGGTAGCGCAGTTACGATATACGCCTGACCTCACCCGTTCACCTGTGTCCAGGCTTGGGTAGTAATGTGTCACTATAACTTCGTTACTTATTTGAATAACTTCTAACTGTAACTTGTTACATTTTCAAAAGGTAACTTGTAACTGTAGTTATACTGCACTTTCTGAAGTAACGATGAAACCAATCACGTACAGCAAAGACCCAGTGATTTGCAATTTTCACGCTGTTCGATTGGTTTCATCAACTCGTAGCGTCGGCCGCGTCTGGACTTAAATCTTTACCCGTGCACTTTTTTTTTTTTTTTGTGACTGGACACTTGCATGTTGATAGCTTGAAGCACTGTGTTTCACTCAAACGTCCATCAATGCGTCTCAACACAACCAATCAATCGAGCGCACCAACTGAACTCCTGTTCAGCAAGGGCAGGGTTATGTTCGGCATCAAGTGCAAGAAACTTTCGGACGACGATTTCGAGAAATAACTGCTGCTTTGTTACATCATAAAGTAATACGCATACTTTAAATTAATTCGTGCAAAAATATTTTTTCTTAATATATATATATATTTTTTTTTGCTATGGAAAAGTAACTAAAGAGCAACGCCATAACTTTCTTGAAGTAACTAACTGTAACGACTTACATTTTCGACGAATGAAATTAGCAGTGTGGACTATTAATCATAACGAAGAGTGCCAAAAAAAAAAAAGTTTCAGCTCTCTCTACATTGTTGTAATTGTGAAGGAAATTACATTTCCTATAAGGGAAGAGTACACTAACAAAGCTTAGTTAATCCATTGTTAAAAAAATTAATGCAATAACCATGGCAATCTTTTTTTTTTTTTTTAGAAACTTTTCTTATCTCTTTGCGCTTTAGCAGAGCGAACGCTGGAGGAGGCGATCTCCTCTCTAGCACTTGCTCAGCTAAAGTGCAAAGAGGAGCCTCCTCTAGACCTTAAACCTTCTGTAAAAAATTAGTGTAAAAAAAAAAATTTTTTTATGTAGTTTTGCAAAATTAAGCAACGTTTTGCATTTCTGTGTATTCAAACAAATGTTTTTTTTAATATAATACTTTAAGAAAGTAAGAAATGAATTCCATGGGCTCATTACTCATTTCATATTAGTCGGGAAAAACGGATAACAAGCCTTTTCTTTAGTCTTGTTACAAAATGGTAGATTGACTAAAATGGAATTTATATTGAAAACCCCGGAATGGGTAAAAACAAATGTGTTCAAAGGGCCCAGATGTCTATCATTTATATAGCATCGAGGGACGGAAAATAACTGATAGCAAGTTATTTATGCAGCAGAAATGCATGAAGCTTAGTGGAAATATTTGGTGGACCTAAACATACCATTCTTCAAAATTAACATTTTTTTTTCCGAAAAAGTTTTTTTAGTATTTGTCCCCCCCTCCCTTCCCCTCCCTCCCCCTCCCCCTCCCCTCCCCTCCCCTCCCCCCCCCCCCCCCCCCCCTCCCTGCCTCCACTGTTCCAATGCCACTGTGCCGTATGCAGTCTCCGATGTGCGGTATATCTCTCCATTAGGAGGTGGAAAACGGTGGCCCCAGCGGAGGCCAGCCCAATGGAATGGGCATGGAGTCGCCCAACCCAAGTGCCTTCTCGCCACCCAGTCCCAAGTACTTCAACAACTGTGAGAAAGTGAAGGAGATGCCAGCAGAAGGCTACTGGCACCCTGACAGTGCTCAAACTGGACAGTTTGTGTACCAGTAGTGTCACTACTGGCCAAAGTGCTTATATACTGCCGTCCTTGTATAATTTGTAAATGTTTCCTCTAGTCAGTGCCCCTCAACAGTGCTGCAAGAGAAAGGCGATGCTCAGGCGCCAAACCTTAGCTTTGCCTTGTTAGTGACTGTGAATGGGCGTACTTCCCCAGAATGTGCTGAATATCTGCAACGAGCGCAGCAACATTTCAGGAAAAGGTTTGCTTGTCTTCCAAAGTTGGATCTTATTTATTTGATGCCTTTTTTTAAGTCCATCCTATCATGATGGCCAGGCCATTCCGTCCCAACAGCCTTGAAATTTGTTCAGAGTCAAGTCGCTCAGCGGTGAAGCCACAATCCACTGTCAATAAAAACCTCCCTGAGGGAGTAAGCATAGATGAGAACTACTGGTATATGTGCTTTTAAGAACTACACCAAAGCAAGACACTTGCATGTGCCTTCTCACAAGTCCAGTGCCGGTCCAAAGCAGTTTTGAAAACACATGATAAAACTGGTTCATAATGCTGTACTGGTTTTCAATTGTGAACTACTGGTTATGAACCTACTTCAAGAAATTAGTGCATGTAGCTGGGAATAATATTCGGTTAAAGTGTTAGCCACCAAACAGCAAACTATGAACTTGAGCTAGTCAATAAAAAAGATTGGCTATTTTTGTGCTGATCAATAGGACAGCTAAGAATATATATTATACTTCTTTTCATTCTTTATAAATCAAGCTATATGCATTAGAAAGCTTCCAGATCGAACCCAATTGAAAGGGTCACCCCAGCCAAAATTGTGTCTTTTCCATTTCGTTTACCAATTCTATTTCCTATGTCTGCAAAGTGCTCAATAGTATGTTTCACACTGGTAGTCGATAAATGAGGAACTCCCAGTGGCTCAGAAAGCACATGCCTTAGCCTATCAGCTCCCGTTCTCACCTCTCAACTGCTCAACATCAGGGAGATTCTTTGTTCCCATGGTTGGGCGGGAAAACTGCAGATAATGTTTTGCCAATCGTAGTTCTGAACAAGTTCTTGGGACTGGAGCTTTTGTACAGTGACTAAACAGGAATCAGCATACTCCCATGTCCTCAGGTAAATCTTGGCAATATTAGCTTCGCTTGCAATTTAGGGGCCTGATGGAATTACACAACTTTAAAAATGTGGCTTGTGGTCCGTGCCATGGCACTCACCCCCTTTGGCTGGAGTGGCCCTTTAAAGTCTACACTAATGTTCTGAGTATGTGATTAACAAGAAGGAAGTTTTTCTTGGAATTTAAAAGTACAGATTGTTTGAACTGTACCTAAACAAAAAAATGCAAGAAAACCCAAGTGCCTCTTGTATGTTTGTGACAATGTGCTTTTTTAAATTTGCATCTTTTATGCAGTCTCATGTATTGTCTGATTCCCCAATAAAACAATGTTTATTCCCACGGGTGGAATACAGTACATCTTCTAAATGTTAGTCTTCTCGTATGCACAGGCATAGGAAAAGAAGACATTCGTTTGATGCCAAGGAACATCATTCAGCACCGATGAATGTACAAGCCTCCAATTGTCAAGGTTTTGAGTTCAGTGACAGCAAATATCACATTTACTTGCATGCTTAGGACTACCGCATATACACAAAAATTTGGTGGACACAAGCAGATTGTACAGCGGAAGAGTTCTCCATCCAGGACACCATCTAAACTATGTACAGCTGGCAATGCAATATTAAATCTCGGGCACTTCAAATCAGCACTCGGGTTCTGCTGGCACTAGGTTATGAACAATGGCACAGCAGCAGAGACATTTGCAACTATCAACATTGTGTATATTTGTGCCCATTCTAAACCCTTGCACATCCAACCAGTGAAGCCTCATTTTAATTTTAAGGTTTAATGGATGCCAGAAGCCGGACGGAAAATGCAAAACAGAAGTATGGCTACGCTAAATAGCATTTATAATATGAGACTACAGCTGAACTATAAATTAGCATCAACATGTTTAGATATAGAAGCATATTCTTTTCTTTCCACACACATCAATCACAGCGGTATAGTATTTGTGCAAGCATTAAAAACGAATGCCAGTCAAAAGTGATAGTACTATTTATCTACAAAAATAAACAAAAGGAAAAGCAATGACAAAGAAAGCAAAAGGTTTTGCTTCTAAAAGAAAACTGCCCAAGCACAAAAATTCCGAGTGCAAGTACTACATAAGACAAGAAACTTTCCTCAAAGAATGCACAGTCTTGATCTTGTACTTTGTTATTAAACAACTACAAACATAGAAGATGACCGAGTGAAGTCATCTGTAGAGCTCTAACAAAAAGCAAGCCAGTTCACACTTGAGAAGGAATGTTGTGCTTTAAAAAAATCAACAAGGCTCAAGGCTGAGAATAAAACAATGATATTCCGAAACATCAGAACAACAGAAAAAGCAAGCCTAATGAAAATTACCTCAATTCTGCATGCAGCTTTCCCCCCAAAACAACATAACCGAGACATACAACTATTACACAAAGCTGATGACTGAAATGCAGCATACCAGGAACAACAAAAATGTTACTATTGTCACTCCTGCTTTGTACAAAGCAAAATACACAAATTTATCCAGGAAAGGTAAAAGCATTCTGTCTATGCACAAGTTTGTGCCCATCTCAAATAAAATCAGACTGCACCATTCCAATATATATATTAACTCCTGGGAGAGCATTTTCCTTCCTTTTTTTTTTTTTTCTTTCTCACCTTTACTCATACATAAACCGAATTTAAGTGGCACGGAAAAAAGTGGTCAGAGTTAAGACACTTTAGCCTTTATCTAGAACCTCCCTGCCCATCCTCTCTTCCTACACGTCCCAGGCAGTCCACTCCAGCAATCCTCACGACATGGCGCCTGTCCGACCAGCCCTCCCCCTCGTTCGGAGCTGTGGCGGAGAAGACATCTCTATCATTACCTCTCTTCATTCTCTTCCAGCAACTTGGTGATCTGAGCCTTGACCAACTGTGTGGCCTCCTTGGCCTTGGGAATGACCAGGCGCTCCAGAGAGACCACTGTGAAAGTTCCTGTGGCGTCATCACTGATGCCATACTTGAAAGTGATCAGCTCAGGGTGCTGCTTCTTGCTGGTGATCTTAAGCACTGAGAGCAGGGGACGCTGGGACACTATTCGGGCACTGCCCTTCTTGTGGCTGATTTCTCTCAGTAGGTAAAGGTGGGACTCTGTCACTAGCAGGTGACTGCAAATAAGGGAGAAAAGAACAAATCACACGTACTTAGTGCCTTACATTACAAAGCTCCTTGCAGCTCACTCAACATAGGGTGCTTTAATGTGTATGAGACTGCCTTAGGATGGTGATGTCAGGCTTTTCTGCGGCACAATGCCTCGGCCTCATCTTTCCTTCGGAGCACGAGTTTCACTGTCATCTTTGATTGTCCTATTTCTTTGCATTTTTTATATGACAGCATGTTGGCAGCATTGGGTACTATACCTTTTGTACATGAAAATACATAGCAGAAATAGAGATCACAGTGGGATTTTATTAGATTTGGTGGAAGCTATTTTCATCAACAGGAACAATACATTTTTTGGCAAGTAAGATAATTCGCATAAAAAAATGGCCTCAAAGCCACATATAAAATAATCAACCCAGTCATATCTTGGAGTTTGCACAACACTCGGCCAAAGCAAATTTCTCCTGTCATTCATATTAAAAAAAAAAATTCACATAATCTAAGAAGCTTCTTGCTTCAAATTAGTTTGTCCCCAAAAATAAAGTGTAGCAAACAAGAGCACAGCTGCATACCTTGGGTAAAGGTGTCCATTCTCTTTGATTTCCTCACACTTGAAGTGTCCCAAGACATCAGGCTTCTTCACCCAGGTGCTGATGCTTTCCTCCTCTTGAACATGCTTATCCAAGTCTCCGTGGCCACCCATGTCTGGTGAGAAGCAGCAGCACAACATAAGTAGCAACATAAAATTTATTAACAGAACCAGCTTTTTCGAGAACTTGTTGAGGAAAAATTACATTTGATTAGTGAGTGAAATATGCATCCCTGAAAGCATGGGTTCTCAAAATGGGTTCCTGGGAACACAGGGATCCGCCAGAGTACCCTCGGGGATTCCCCAAGCTCCCTAGGTAAACTGCTATCCCCAGTTTAAGCACTACTTCAGCAAACCTAAGCCCCTACCAATGCATAACTATAAGCCAAACACACTCTTATCATGTTGCAAGCTCTATTGGGAGCATGCGACACTTATAGGGGACGCACCGCTCTGCGTTGCGAATGGTTGGCAGCGCCACCATTTTAGATAGCGTTTACATGTTACGTCGCACAGTGAAGCACTGCCCGCTCCGACATCTTTTAATGAGCTTGGAGCTTCTTGGCACGTCCGCACCTTCCCCTGGCCTTGTCTCTCGACCTCGCTCCAGGGTAAAAGTATGGCACCTTGAAATTCAAAAACCAACCAGCGTACGGCGTTGCTCTGTACGCATTTTCACGTCATTTGACCCGCGGGAATCACTTGGAGCTCGGATTTAATCGTGCGTCCTGCAGTTGTAAACGGTAATGACAACAACACACTTCCACGTTTTTTGTTTATCTGCGCTAGAATAGGCCTTTGTGAAGCGCTTGTGCGCCTGATGGTCCGCAAATCACTACGAGACGACTTTCATCAAAGCCGGCATAACTGATGAAGTCTATGTGAAGATTATTTTTCACTCTTCTTATTATCAGATTGCTTTTCACTCGCCGGCGAATTTAGTACACGTGCTGGGATTGAGACGATCGTGGCGGTTTTCCCTTGTGAATGGAGGGGATCTGGGTTCCCAATTGCCGGGTCTCGTATAAAAAAAAGTAAGAGCCAACTGTGGCCCCGAATGTTTAGTATAACGCTGTGTTCGGGTAAGCCGACATTCCTTAGGAACTAAAATTGGCTGCTATGCATGATGTCTATGCCAGTGTGGTGACGTTCGATACAAAATGCTTCTACCAGGAGCTGCACTGTGGCATCACTGTCTCGTAGCATGCTTCCAATAGGCTCCTGAAATGCTTTACAGCATCAATGTCGAGACTGGGAGGCATTCCTCAGGTATCAGTCAAGGCAGGTAAAGGTTCCTCGAAATTAAAAAATCTGAGAACCCTTCCAATTGGCACAACTAGTTTTCCATCAGCATTACTACCGTTATATCCTCAGTCATCACCCACCCCCTTGTAACCTGAAATTCATGGAAAATGTGAGGTGGGCAAAATCTTGGTCGGTAAGCACAGAAAGTTTAGAAAAAGCTTAATAAAACACACACAATTTTCTGTATGTGTTTAGCATGGCTGCACAGGAGATACAGTAGCTTCGTTCGATTTACATCCACCTCCAGCACCGGTGCAGAGAAATGTAGGGCGGTGTACTTCCGGTCAATACTATTTTCATTTAATTTCCTTTTTTTTTTTTTAAGCCTCCTCTATCTATTTTGTCGTTGTCGTATCTCACTACAGTCGCCGATGGATCTTTCAAATGCCGATAATTCAGACTTGTTCGATATTTCAAACATAAAGGAACAACAACCCACCCGATAGAAATAATGCATGTTCACGATCAATGTTTCAGACAGCTTAAAGTCTGAAAGTTTGATTTTTCAAACAATCGTTGCGAGCGATCAGCGGGAAACACCACCGTTGCCTGGTGCTTGACATGACCCCCATTCTATCGCAGGCACTCTTGCCGTGTCCGGTGGAGGAAAAAATACACTTCGCTGACGTGTACTTGTTGCTCTGCAGCTCGCGTAGTTGGTACATGTTATTAAAGTGGCTTGCTGCACCATCACTGACGTAGGTCACATGAGCATACCCACATTGGATTTCACGATTCTCCAAACCGTTGTCAAATAAATTAAGTTACAAACAATCTCATTCAATCTTAATTTTTTCTTTTGCAGCATTTTTGTTTTCTGCAGCATTTTTTTTTTTTTTGCATCGTATTGTTTTTTACGGCGGTGGATCGATTGGCGCTCATAGATGGCACTGGTTCAGGTTCTGGGGTGCCCTACCTCCTCTATTATGTTACTGCCAAGGTTGTAGGCTGATCTGTTTGCAAAGTCGCTCCGGTTTCTTCCCTTACGTTGTGTAGACGGAGACGCTACACCCCGGCTGTTGAAACGGGCACCGCGAAGCATGTTACAGGATGGCACCTCTCAATCGCTCCGGCCATAGCCCTTTTTGGGTCGGTTGTATGAAAATGTCTTAGGAATTTTTCTTTCAAAACTACAGTCCACCTCTGTGCTGTCAATTTGTCGTTTCCTGATCAACCCGTAGCATTTTTACACTTTTTAATAATAATGAAATTGCGAAAAAAGGGTATGTGCACGCACATTTATGGCAACGGCATTAGCGTCAATTTGGCCATATTTCTTGCTTTATACATTCAAAGCCACACAAATATTGCATTATGTTTTTGCAGATTCTGTTAGTAATTAAACCTTGATTTAACAAAGTCACTAGGACCCGCTACCTTGTTAAGGGGGACACTACCCAGAAAAACAAAATTCTGCAAAAAACATTGACTTTGAAAAATTACATATTTACATCAACCAACATCTAGAGTATTTCCAGAAATTTTCATTAGTTTACACAGCATAGTTAACTTTTTATAAATTATTTTCTGTCCACTGAATCTAAAAAAAAGGTAGGGTTTGGAACACTTCGAACGCTTTTTTCTTCGTTCCACTTTTTGGTATAAATTTCATTTTAGTCCATCTATCGTTTGATAATGGTAATAAAGGGAAGGCTTGTTCTTCACTTTTCCTGACTGATATTTAATAAGGAATGCGGCTATGGAATGTTTTTGTCACTTTACGAATGTCTTTTAAAGAAAGAGTTGACATTTTGTCGAAGACACGAAGACCAAAAAGTTGACCAATTTTGCAGAAGAGAAAATTGGTAGAAATAAATGACTTTTTACAAAAAAACTTTCCATAGCCGGACCTCCTAGGCATTCTGTTAGACATCTAGCGAATAAAAATCTTGAATATTGTGATAGTTTTCCGACAATAGATTAACTAAACAATGTAGGCATGTTGCTGATAGAAACTGCCCTAATTTCCTACCCACTTTAACGACAGACCTAAAATTTTGTTGCGCACCCGCTAGCATGACTACCAGTCAACCCTGTAAATTTCATTAATGTTAATCCAAGGGTTCAAAAGTTGACCCTCACAAGGGGTCTGTCCCCTTAAATCCGGAACTTCATAAAATCGAGGAAGGGTGACCTCGCGCATAGGCTGCGTGGGGAATCCGAATTTTTTCGTTAAATCAGGAAAGTCATAAAATCTGGTTTCGTTAAATCGCGGTTCAACTGTATTATGAACATTAATTTCGAGGAGTTTCAAGAAAATTAAAGAAGGCCTTTTTTTATAAATGATTTTCAAAATAATAAACATTTCGCTAAATGCCCCTGTGTGAGCAATTCTTGTAAATTTCTCCTGCTAACCAGGACAACAATACTTCATGCAAAGATTAACTATATAGAGGGCAACACACTAGCAAAGTTTGCAGACTTTGCCAGTGTGGCAAAGTCTTTCATAGATACAGAGAAAAAAAAATTTAATCCAGAGCGTTATTGCACAATGTGCCATGTTTGAGACTTTTTTCTCAAAATAACAACCCTAATACTCGGTGATTAATACTTTTTGTCAATACTTGTATGCCTAATTTGTCAGTACATAGTTCTAGACCCGTAGCCAGAACAATTTTTTGGGGGCAGCCGCCCAAAATTCTAACCATTGAGCGATACGCAAAACGCGCACAAGACTGAGAAGGTGCTTAAAAAATTTTTTCGCAAAGTCAAATTTTGTTTTTTTCCAAAACAAGAATTGCTTTAATTTTCTGGGCATGGAGCCAGCAAAATATATTTTTTTCATCAAAATTAGAAATGGTCACCCGACACGGTTGTTCAATCTTATCTGAAAATGCCCAGACGCTTCCTACAACGAGAACGGGAGGGGGGAGCGAGAGAGAACCATGCCATGTGTGAGGAACGACAAGGAGAAGGAGAGCAGTGCCTTTGCTGTACAGTGGGGTTTTGTGTTCGTACATGAGCATTTTTTGCCTGGGAAAAGGCATCGACAGCGACTGCTGTAAAAAAAGGAGTCAACCAAAAACCAGAAAAACAAACCAGGTGCAACCAGTGAATGAGCAAGCAGACGAAAGAAGCGACGAAGTAGCACCTCCAGGCTAAGAAAGCCTAAGCGCTGAATTTGCTCGCATCGCTGAAAGAGGTGACCGTAGGGCACAGACTTGACACCAGAGCTGCGTCAGCGTTTGGCCTAAACTCGTGTCCAATCAGTGAGATCCCGAGTTTCAGCCGAACGCAGACGACCGCATTCTTGTCCAACCTCTACCCTACGGTTGCCTCTATTAGTGGAGCAGGCACATTCAGCACCTGGGTTTTCTTAGCTAGGAACTGTTGGACGCGGAGGGATGCTGGGGAAGCGGGAGAGCCGGCGATTGCACAAGCAAATTCTTTGGCATTAAGCCAAGTCGGGCGCCTTGTCAATCACAAGGAGCTGGCTCTTGTGCAACATTCTTGTTTGATGAGTACCAGTTTGATAGCATACTGTGCGTCAGTGCACAGCGTGCTATCAACGTGGGTTGAGGCGGCATTGCTGTGCAGTGTTAACAACATTGCAATAATGTGTGTGGCGTTCCAGCACGTATCTATTTACCGGATGTTTTTGTCCCGAATATTGCACGACCTCATCGAATGCAGTCGTGACGCTTCAGAAGAATGACCGGGTATTCGCGGTGACCCTATTTTGGTGGAGACAGACTCAACAGAGTTGCTTTCAGTTATGAAGAAAAGAAGGCATCCCTGTCCTCGCATTCTGCTGTCGCATCCCAGGACACTGGGTGTTCGCTGACCTTCCAACCCCTGGATGTATTACGGCTTGTGTTATCTTTCCAATTTTTTTTGTCTGAATGGATTTACATTTTTTGTAAACAAAACAAAACTTTATTCTCTAGTCTCCGTTATTTTTCTCTTTCACAATATACTCTGACTTTGAGGTGGCAGAAATTGAGAAGGATATGTGGAAACAAACTAAAGTTTCTTTCTCTCTTTCGTTTTACTTTGTTACGGACGTCCTCCGACCGTACGGTCCGTGCTTGCGACATTCGGGGAAGATGAATGTTCGCGGATCGCAGGATCCACCTTGGGGTATTTGTAGGGGTAGGCAAACACTTGGTGTTTTTGTTTAAAACTGATATTTGCTCAAAAAGTAGGGTGGGCAATGACTAGGGATATTACGGCAGTCGATTGGTTTTCATGACAAATCAAGATGAAACTTGGCACACCAATGACCTTTCGGTCTGAAAGACAGTGTAGCCTTCTGAATTTACATGCCTAATATACCCTGCAAACTTTTTCTGCAACAGCACAAGTACTTACAAAGTACACTCTTCAAGGTAGTGACTCCCCTCAAACAATCTTTGATGCTATTATACTTTTATATGACAAGCCAGAAATTTTACATGGCATGTTTGGGCAAACGGAAGATAACAAAAAAATAGCAACTACCGCAAAATCTCGCAAGAACGCCCACCCAAAATGAGGAGATACCTAAACGTTGAAAAACATGGGGTGAGTTATCTTTGGGGAGACAACATCAAATCTTTGTCAAAACTTAGTGATAAAATACTGGGGCATCTACTTCAAACCACGTGAAAAGGGAACTGATACTGCCGATTGCGGACATGGCAAATTCGCGTTTCACGATGCGATAAACACGCGGAAATTCACTACAAACTCCTGTGTCACGGGCAAAAATATTGCGGATTGTGGATGAGGCAGATTTGTTTTTCACGGTGTGAACGACACACAAGAACCTACCGCGAACTCGCATGTCATGGGAACCAGTAACGCAAGCTGTGGATGCAACAAAGTAGAGAGCTGGGCTAGTTGGTGGAAGTTACCGTACACACACTAGCACTGTTACACCTGCATCGTGGATGCAGTAGCCCATTTCATGGTGCAATAAACATGCAGGCTCGTGTGTCACAGGAACCAATATCGCATGCGCAAATTGTGGACAAAAAACGCTGGAATGTGCTACAAACTTGCATGTCACAGAATGCATACCGCAAGCACAGCAGACTTGCATTTGACAATGCAATAAAAATGTGGGAACAACTTGCATGTCATGGAAACCAAGAGCGCAAATCACGGACAAAAACGCGTGAACCCGCTACGAACTAGCTTGTCACAAATATCGGTACTGCAGAGAGCGCGGTTGATGCGATTTTTGTCGAGTATTGCGTGATGTCCAACCGAAATTGGAGGTCGTCAACGTATCAGAATTTTAATGTTATAGATATTTAGCTAAAAAGACAGGATGGGCTATCTCTCAGGGGAGGGCACCCCTACAGGATTTCACGGTACATCCGAGGCTAAAGATATGTTACAGGAAACTGCAGGGGTTCACCTACCATCATGCTCATCATCAATGCTGAACACGGGAGCCATGCCTCTGTACCGCTTACCGAGCTTGTCGGAGCTGCTCACATGCCTGCACATAGTAGGTTGCATGAAAGAAATTAGCAGGATGACCAATTTGCTTCCATCAAACAGCTCAGAGAGATTAGATTAAATCACACAGAACACCCAAACCTCAAAAACAGGGACAGTTGGCAAAATTAAATTCAGGGATGATTTCATTTGATTGCATCGTAGACCAGCATCAGCGAGGTAAATGACGAACATACCACGAAGTGATGAGACAAGCATTAACATAAAATACAATGTTCAGAAAGCCTGGCATCCAAGATGGCCGACAAGTTGCTTTCACCCAAAGATGAGCAGTATGTCAAATACTACAAGTATTTGAAATACATATTTAAAATACTTAGAGTATTGTGTATTTCCTATTTAATTACTTATCGGGGAGTGCATTTAAATAGTGAAAATTCAGTATTCGAAATACTTGTACTTTAAGTACTGTTTAAATACACTTTTGAACACTGTTTTTTTGCAATCAAATGTGGCATTGGAGTCATATGCAAAGAGCATGCAACTTGCTGTGGTTTGCTCACAATGAACATTGAAGAAAAAAGGAAGAGCAGAACAAGAACTGAATCGGATAGGTACAATTACTTTTGTTTGTCGACCGATTTAATTTTTTAGACATATTAATGATATCTTGTTTGAAAAGGCTTTATTGCGTCAACTGAACCTTTGATATTATTTTTAATTTGAATGCGTTGTGCTTCTTGAAGTTCTAGCCGCCTATCTCATGACATACAAATCTTATTTTTATTGCTGCAGCTTTCTTTTTAAGCACTTGATTCTCGGCATATAATTTATAGATTGCACTCTTTATTTAAGTACTTTTATTTTTTACCCGGAGTTAAATTTAAGTTCAAGGTTTCAGACTATGAGAATAAAATGTATTCTTAAAAGTTTTTGTATTCATGTATTCATAAAAGTTTAATGTTTAAAAAAGTTAAAGTTTAAAAGAATAATGTATTCATAAATATAATGTATTCATAAAAGTTTTCAAATAAAAGAATTTGAAGATAATCACATACTCTCATGGTATTTGTATCTTGTATTTAAATACTTTTGTAAAAAGTGTAACTGGATTTGTAATTAAAGAAAGTTTATGTTAAAGTACTTTTTGGTATTTGTATTTCAACACATTTTTGGAAGCATTTTGCCCATCTCGGTTTTCACCCTATTTTTTCCCTCGTGACACCACAACCTCCAGTTTAATCCTCTTTGGTAAGACTCAATTCCTATTCAACATATGCATACTGAACATCAACAGCAACGTGACCTTGGGAACTGAGCTGCCTCTGAAGTTATGTACACATGATCCAAAATGGCCAACATCCAGACTCCCAAGAAAAACCAGATGAGCCACCAACCTTTCAACAACTGGCTGCTGGGGGTTTGTGATGTAGTCTACAAGCTTTTCTTTCATATCAGTTGCTCTGCTCCTGAATACGGTTGTGACCTAACAAAGGAAATGTGCAGAACATTAGTGTGTGCTGCATTTCTCAATTTAGGCAGTAGAGAAAAACGCTGGGACAGTATACTACTATGACTTATCATGATCGCTGTACCATTATGCCATGCATGGGCGATTGAGCACAAGCAACACAGCAGAAACACAGATAAACTCCCTTGTCTGGTGATATGAGGTCACGCCGTATCTCCATAGCGTTGGCTCGTTTCGTCCACTTCAACAACCTAGTATACTTCATAAATTCAAAAACAATTAACATACAAAAAAGTGCCAGCAAAAAAAAGTCAAGACAAACAAGCATTTGTTTTTTGACCCAGAATGTGTTTTATCAGCCGATTTCTATAGAGTTCAATAACCATAATTAAGAAATAAAACCTACTTAACATGAAATCATTTTTCAAAATGATTTCAAATTAAGCAGGCTAACTCCTTTTTCGGAAAGTAAGCAAGGTTGCCAGAAAAATCATAACGATGCGGCAACCACTTGTGAGATGGCAGTAGTATACGAGATATCAATGGGTTGTGGGTTCTCATACATGGGTCAAACCGGCTGCTGCCTAAACGACCGAATAATAGAGCACAAAAGAGCAGTTAATTCTTCTGCCAATTGAGAAATCATAAAACACCTGAGTGAATGTGGAAATTGTTACCCAGATTGGAAGCAGACAACTGTGCTTGGAATAGAAAAAAGTAATTTTAAAAGGGTAATTAAGGAGACAATTAGGATCATAAGTGCCGGAAATTGTATAAGCATGCCGTCTTTGACTTTGAACACTAAAGCGTTTTCATCTGTTTAATTCCAAGTAGGTTGTGACTCGGGTAATTTCTGAATGTCTTTCTCCTGTGAGCAATTGACATTTGAAAACTGCCTTTAGACCTGTGTTCGACACTCATGGTTCTTGGTGGTTTGTGTGTGCCGCCATTAAGACATGTGTTAATTGGAATACGACAAGAAAGAAAAAGAAAAAGACCACAAGGAAGAAGACTGAGTTTGTGTGCTCGAGGCTCTCTTAGTGTAGTGAGTGTCCCTGCTGTTGAATGTGTACAATTTGGATGGAAGATGACAAAGAAGAAGACTGTTGTGGAAGTAAATGACAGCTGTATGCTGTGCTGGCTTTGAGATGGTGGTGTGTATGTCCCTTTTGTTTTCTTGTCTCAAGGTTTTATTTCTTAATTATGATTGTTCACCAGCTCGCCTGCATTTTGACTCTTGTTTCAGTTCCACAATGTTTGGCTGTAATGAGAAAACAACGAAAAAAAGCATTACGCCCATAGGAAACCATATAAAGACTTCCATAACCCGGCAGCACACCAAACTGAAACAAACCTCCTCAACTGGGGGAAACTACCCCGAGATGCTCGCAGTCATTGATGGTTGTACAACCAATCATGAAAGAACTTATCACGAGAAAACGCGGTGCGTAACGTAACGACACAATAAAATCTCGCATCTCAACAGCTGCGTTCGACGAGTGCGAGTATGAGGGCATTCAGGTGCTGACTGTCTTTGCTGGAAACTTGGTGATTATCGACGTTACGTTCTTCGGTGTAACGTCCTTTGTGAACAGAGAAAAGCAGGAAGTTGATATGTTTACTGTTGGACACTCACGCGAAGCATAATTGCAATGAATTTTCTCATGTATGTACGTCGGTTGGTGCTCACGTTGGTGCACGTCACAACTGAAGAAAAACACTAAATGCAGAACGCAAGTGACCTTACGTAAATATGAATTAACTTAATAAATGGTGCAATACACCAGAAAACGAGGATGAAAACGAAGGAAGAACAGGATAAGTCGCCGCGTCCTGTCCTGTTCTTCCTTCATTTTCGTCCCCGTCTTTCGGCGTTTTACACTATGATGAGCAACCAACTAGCCCAAGTAGCCAGCCTTAAAGGACACATGCAAAGGAAAAAAACATTTTTTTAGACAGCTTAGATGGAAAAAGTATGTCATAAAACGATTTTACAATGAAGAAAAAAAATTTTTAGAGCTATATTTATGGCGCTATACGAATTTGTAGTTGGCGCTAGCGGGAGCCGCCGCTGGTCACGTGGTAGGCCCGCGCGCCACCGCGCTGCGTCGCCGCCGCACGCTGAGCGTTGTGCGAACGCCGCTTCAATGCGTTTCTCTATGCCGCCGCCGCCGCACAAGTTTGTCTGCTTTGGGGCGCCGCCGCTGTCATCTGACCGGCGCAGAGGTCTATCACGTCTGCTTGCGGTTTTTCAGGAGTTTCCTTTGGGCTCTAAAAGTTACTTATTCATCTTAGTTTTTTGTTATACTTCAAACAAAGATGAATAAGTTACTTTTAGAGGCCATAGGAAGCTTCCGAAAGAGCGCAAGCACCACGTGACAAATATGGGCCCGTCAAGGGCCACTTTTCCGCGGCACCCGCGGCGCCAACTACAAATTCATATAGTGCCGTAAATATAATTCTAAAAATTTTTTTTCTTGGTTGTAAAATTGTTTTATGATATTTTTTTTCCATCTAAGCTGTTTAAAAAAAATGTTTTTTTCCTTTGCATGAGTCCTTTAATACAGTATAGACCCCTTACAATGTAACCGCTTATAGTGCAGGACCGGGTATAACGCGGCTTTCTTAAACCACTGGTTCGCCTCCCATAGAACTCCATGTAATTACATACCGCTTAAAATGCAGGCGCGCGAAGGGAAATACCGGTTATAGTGCGGTTTCTGGAACAGCCCGCCGACCGCGCCGACCAACCAGCGCGGCGAGCACGCTTCCCTGTGCGACACTAGATAACGACGCAGGCCGCAAGCGGCACTCGCGGGGCAAGGAAATTGCTCGAAGAAGCGGGGAGAAGCGAAGAAAGAGGCTTCAGTTGCCATAGCGACAGAGATCGCACGCACGTGTTGTTCACATGCGTGCGTTCCTCCGCTGCGTTGGAGCAGTGCCTCCTATATAAGTTACACTATGCCGGTCAGCTTCTCTCCAAGACGTGTCCAGGCCCGATGCTTCACCTCACAACACGCACGTACAGCTAGGTAGCGCCGCCTGGCGGACATTCGTTTTGTCTATTTTTTTAGTATGTTGTATTTACCTTATTATTGAAGATATATCATATTTATGCCTTTTTAACAACATGCCGAACACTGTTCTGGATGTGACCGCCCTGATTCAAACGAGTTTCGCTGAGCAAAATACGAAACTACGAAACAAGCACGGCCAGGCTTCGCTTCTGCAGCGCGACTGCGGAGAACGCTTGGCCCTTGACCGTCTGCTTCGGCGGTCACCTTGAATCGCGCGCATAGAATTAGTTGGCGCCAGGTCGTGTGCGGGTGAAAAGGTAGGAAAATAAGAAATAATATTCCGTTGAAAACAGCGAGCTGGTCCCGAGCTGTCAGTCAAAAACATTTAGACTTCTTGCTGTCAGTGCTGTGGGGCGACATCATTGAATCTCCTACGGAAGAAATGGTTGGCTTCACTACATGACAGGTTTGTACGCCTAGGTGGCTCCACCACACGGCAACCACACATACTATCGCCCTCTCCCTTCCGCTTGCCAGTGCTCGAAGCTGACAGGCATAGTGTAACTTATATAGGAGGCATCGGTTGGAGCAGTGCCTCCTATATAAGTTACACTATGCCTGTCAGCTTCTCTCCAAGACGTGTCCAGGCCCGATGCCTCACCTCACAACACGCACGTACAGCTAGGTAGCGCCGCCTGGCGAACGTTCGTTTTGTCTATTTTTCTAACATGTTGTATTTACCTTATTATTGAAGATATATCATATATATGTTTTTTGAACAACATGCCGAACACTGTTCTGGATGCGACCGCCCTGATTCAAACGAGTTTCTCCGAGACAAAATACGAAACTACGAAACAAGCACGGCCAGGCTTAGCTTTTGCAGCGCAGACGCGGAGAACGCTTGGCCGCTTGACCGTCTGCTTTGGCGGCAGTTTGGGGCTTTGGCGGTCACCTTGAATTGCGCGCATAGAAATAGGTGGCGCCGGGTCGTGCACGGGTGAAAAGGTAGGACAATAAGTAATATTCTGTTGAAAACGACGAGCTGGTCCCGAGCTGTCAGTCAAAAACATTAAGATTTCTTGCTGTCGGTGCTGCTCGGGCGACATCATTCAACCTCCTACGGAAGGGATGGTTGGCTTCACTACACGGCAGGTTTGTACGCCTAGGTGGCTCCACCGCACGACAACCACACATACTGTTTGCCCTCTCCCTTCCGCTTGCCAGTGCTCGGAGCAGACAGGCATTGTGTAACTTATATAGGAGGCACTGGTTGGAAACAACCGCAACGACAGACCAATCGCAGGTCGAGGAGAAGTGTTTGCGCGTGTTGCATGCCAGTCGCGGGCCGGCTTCTTCTATCCACAAACATGGCGTCGGTTGTGATTGTCGACGTAGACGGCGTGGTGAAAGCTCATCGTTCCGCGTAAAAGCGCTATCCTTGACTGTGAATTTTCGTTGTGTGTTGCTATGATAACCCAGCACGTACTAGAAGGGACGATCCACCTACTCGTGCGGCAATGTCGTGGCGGCACTCTCAAGACGGCAGAAACGCCCGTGTCGTCGTGTTTGTTCACTTCGACTACAGTGGTGCTTTCTAAGCATTTTTGTGTTTTCGAACATCGCCCGGATTTCTTATTTGGAGCATTTCATGCCTGTGCTAAAGTTAAAGGTATTACTGGCGCATACCGTAGAAAGGATGCGAATTTTCACGCGTTTTCATCACAGGAGAAAAGTCATAAGGGTTAGCAATCCTGAACGCTCGCAACGTCCGTCCGCAACCCGCGACGCCGTTAAAAGGCTGCGCCAGGCAAAAGTCGCTCATTTCTTTCGAAATGTGTGACACTTGAGAGAGAAGTGTACTACCTAGTCTGGTGAAATAAAGACTTTCCTCAAACTAAGCTTTATTTTTCATCTAACATAAAATAAATTATTTTACAAAGGTAAGCATGTATTTTGGCCTGAAAAATTTATGTTTTGGTTATAACGCGGTACCGC